CATTCTACTTAACTACGTCATTTAAAGCTTCTAAAAGTTGTGAGACTGACACCAGTTTCCTGTATCGGCAACTTTCAGATTTTAATGTTGCAAAAGAGTATGTAAATTATGTTACAATATTTACAAAACTACAGTGTATAATGTTTTAAATAAACAATAACACTTACTATCTCTCGTGATAATATCAATATTTACAATAAGTTGTAACATTATTTACATACTCTTTTGCAACATTAAAATCTGAAAGTTACTGATACAGGAAATTGGTGTCAGTCTCATAACTTTTAGAAGCTTTAAATGACGTAGTTAAGTAGAATGCGAGGTAGCGTTTAAACGTAAAACTAAAATTGTTTTATAGGTTAACTAAACAATAGAAAGAATAATAAACGAACAGAAAACAAAACCATAACGAAATAAAAATAGGATTTGCTACCTCATATTCCTTCCCTTTTCGAAAAAGAAAGTGATTACATTAATTACTGTTCATAAAGTCCCAATTTTCGTATCCTTACTTTTAAGGACTTTATTATACTGACACCACGAATCCTGCCCAGTTTAAGTACATATACCTTACAAAGAAAATTCGTTCATGTTCTTCTATCTTCACCTTCTCTTCCTTCCGGCTCAGGTTACGGGACGTCTTTGAGTTCAAAGACAAGCTAAGCTGCAATAATTAACTAGTTAGATCAAGAGATTTAAAATCATGATCATTATTTACATACTCTTTAACAATACATTTACAAGTCACCGTTATGGAAACTGGTGTTAGTCTGATACTTAAAATTGATGTGAATAACTAGATCGTGAGTTAGCGTTTAAATGTAAAACTAAATATTCACAGCTTAACGAAACGAGAGAATGAATAATATATGAACGGTTAACAAATCCAAAACTAAATAAATTGAACTTGCTACCCAACACTATTTCCCCTTTAGAAAAAAAAGAGATTACATTAATCACTATTTAAAATACCCAATTTTAGTATCTTTACTTTTAACTCCCTCATTATACTGACATAGTCAATCCTTAACAACTGAAATACAGATATATTTGAAGGCGAAATCATTCCATTTTTCTCCTATAATCTGTTTTTATCTTCCGGCTTCAGTTCAGTTTAACGGAAGTTCATGGGTTCCAAGACCAGCTAATGTGTGATAATTAACTAAACTACTCACATCAAGAGATCAGAATTCATGTGATAATCATGTGCACACTTCCCCAACATTAATATCTGTACGTCACCCCTATGGAAAATAGGCTGCAGTCTGATAATTTATATAATTTTAAAAATTGATGTGGTTTACTAGAATGCGAGTTAGCGTTTAAATGTAAATTAAAAATACAGATTAACTAAACGATAGAAGAAATAATTGAATGGTAAACAAAAGTATAACAAAATAAAAACAGAATTTGCTATATCATACTCCTTCCCTTTTCGGAAACCGAAATGATTACATTAATCATTCCTAAAATGCCAATTTTCGTATCGTTACTTTTAACGACATCGTTATACTGACATCAGGAATCCTGCCCAATGCAAGTACGTATACTTTACAAAAAAAAAAAATTCGTTCATATTCTTCCATCTTCACATTGTCTACTTTCCGGCTCAGGTTACGGGAAATCCTAGAGTCCAAAGACAAGCTAAGCAGCAATAATTAAGTAACTAGTTAGAACACATTAATTCAAGTTATTATTTACATACTATTTACCAACACTAATATCTGTACGTGACCGATATGGGAATCTGGTGTCAGTCTGACAACTCATAGAATCTAAAAGTTAAGAGATCAGCTAGGAGGCGAGTTAGCGTTTAAGAGTAAACTAAAAATTAACAGATTAACTAAACGATAGAAAGAATAAACTGTAAACAAAATCATAACAAAATGAAAATAATTTGCTACCTCACACTCCTTTCGAAAACCGAAGTTATTACATTAATCACTCCTAAATTCCCAATTTTTCTATCCTTACTTTTAACGGCCTCATTACACTGACATCATGAATCCTTTACAGTTTCTCTACAGATACCTTACCAAGAGAAATAATTCATGTTGTTGAATCTTCATCTTTACTTTCCTGCTCAGGTTCACTTTAGAGGAAGTGTTCGAGTTCAAAGACCACTTAGGTTAAGCAGACGACATACTGTAGATGACTCATCAGTATGTTACGTCGAAGGATGAGAAGTGGACACATCAGAACAAGTCCTTTATTTTGATGGAGAGGAGGAAGCAATCTGAAAGCCTTCTTGTGCCATGGAAGTTTTCTTGAACGACATAGGACGATGAGCATTTCCTCTAGTGTCGAAAAATTTTTTTTTCACTGGAAAAATTCATTTTAGAAACTTAAAAATTGTCCTATTAACACGATATAACCTAACATAAAAATGGAGAAACACAAGTCGTAACTTTGAATTGTTCATTCAATATTAGAATAAAGTTCAGCAAGATTCACTACAGAATGTATCTGATGTATTCTTAACAATAGTAGCGACTTACCTACTTTTAATTTTGTCCGAAAGAGACTAACGGGTTTATGCTTCTCGATGTAGCTTCCGATGTTTTTCAATGTTGGATATTGCCTTCTATTTAATATTTCTAGATATATCTGTTCGTTCATCTACGGTTGTAGGTAATGTTGGATATTTTGTTTCCAAAAAGTCATTCTTTGACCCCTTGAAAACTATTAAATAGCTTGTATATAGTGTATGAATGAGCCAGTGGCCAGAACTTTCCACTAACACGAAAGAACAATATACCATCAATAACAGCTTAATATTTATATAGATAAATGAAAAAGGAACGGAAGAAAAAAGCTTGTATAAAACTTAAAACATCAAATAACGAAAACTCTTGATCACTATCTGACGTGAGAAGAATCATTTAAAATCATGACAAAGTCTTTATTCAAAACATTAAATATTTTGCAACATATCTGCAAGTCACCGGTAATGGAAACTGGTGTCAGTCTCAAACTTTTGGAAACTTTAAATAACGTAACAAATTAGAATGCGAAGTAGCGTTTAAATGTGAAACAAATGTTACAGGTTAACTAAACAATAGAAAGAATAATAAATGAACAGAAAACAAAACCATAACGAAATAAAAATAGAATTCGCTACCTCATATTCGTTCCCCGTTCGAAAATCGAAGTGATCACATTAATTACTAATTATAAATTCTCAATTTTAGTACCCTTACCAATAGTGACTTTATTATACTGACACCATGAATCCTGACCAGTTTAAATACATATACCTTACAAAGAAAAAGCGTAGTGTTCTGCGATCTTAAGCTTCTATACCTTCTGGTCCGATTCAGGTTACTGGAAATTAAGTCCAAAGACCAGCTAAGCTGCAATAATTAACTAGTTAGACCAAAGATTTGAAATAATGTGATCATTATTTATATACTCGTTAACAACTTTAATATCAAAGTCCCCACTATAAAAACATAATTCAAATTTAAAATTGATGTGAATAAATAAACGGTAAACAAATCGAAAACAAAATAGAATTAAACTTTCTACCTCACACTCCTCCACATTTAGAAAATAAAGTGATTACATTAATCAGTTTATAATTTTAAGTTCTTACTTTTAACGTTACACTGACATCCTACATGGTTTAAGTACAGATACTTATTCGACTTTATATTTCTAGTTCAGCTTTACGGAAGTTAGAGTTCTAAGACCAGTTATAATTTGCAATAATTAAATAACAAATGATATACATACCCTTTACCAATATTAATATCTCCAAGTCATTGATAGGGGAAACCGACGCAGTCTCACGCTTCGTGTAAATTAAAAATTGATGAGATTAGCTAGAAGGTGAGTTAGCGTTGAAGTGTAAATAAAAATCCAGAGGTTAACTAAATGATAGAATGAATAATAAACGAACGGTAAAGAAATACATAAAATAACAATATAATATGCTATATCACACTCCTTCCGCTTTAGACAAAGAAAATTATAATATTAAATCGTTCCTTATAAATTCCCCACTTTCATTATTCTTATTTTTAAGGCCATCGTTTTACTGACCTTATGAATCCCCCCCACAGTTAAGTACAGATATTAGGACAAATTGGTTATGTTATTAACTCTTCAGATTGATCTTATCTAGTTTCATGCTGTGGTTCCCCTTACAGGGAGTGTTTGAGTTCGAAGACCATCTAGGTTGAGCAGATCACACAAATGACTCGTTAGGTCGAAGGATGAGATGTGGACACGTCAAAATAAGTTATTGGAAAGGGGGGGGGAAGACACTCTAAGCCTTCTGTCGCCACTTTTTCTGCAACGATATAGAACGATGAACATTCTCCGATATAGAAACAGTACTCTCGATAAAGTATTTCTCTTCATTTTAGGGAAATAAAATTGTTCTACCATTAAAATTGATATTTAGTATGAAAATAAATTGGAGTAACATAAATAGCAAGTTTAGACAGTCCATTGATATTAGAATAGATTTTAGAATAAGACAATTTAATACAGAAGATAATGAATATATTATTAATAACAGCAGTAGTAAATTAACTACTTTTAATTGTGTCCGAAAGATACTAACGGTTGTAAACTCTTGCTGTAGCTTTCGATGCATTTCAATTTTGCATATTGTCTGTTTAATATCTGTAAATAGTTCTGTTCGTCCTTTTACGGTTGCAGGTGACATTGGTTATTTTGTTAGTTGTTTGTTTCCAAGACGTCCTTCTTCGACTCCTTATAAACTAAATTATCAAAGAGTTTGCATATAGTTTATGCATAAGACCATGACTTCTTACCAAGATGAGAGAACAACATACCATCAATATCAGGATTAATATTTCTGTAAATGAAAGGAATTAGAGAAAGAATAAGGAATATATAAAAGATTACAAATTTATTAAGATATGTAATAGACAACAATAACGCTTCTTCACTATCTCTCGTGACACAATTTAATACAAGTTTAATATTTTCAATAACATTAATTACATACTCTTTTGAGAAATTAATATGTGCAAGTTATCGATAGAGTAAACTGGTGTCAGTCTAACTTTTAGAAGACTTAAACGACGTAGTTGAGTAGAATTCGAGGTAGCGTTTAAACGTAAAACTAAAATTGTTTTATAGGTTAAATGAACAATAGAAATAATAAATGAACTGAAAACAAAACCATATCGAAATAAAAAATAGGATTTGATACCTCACATTCCTACCCACTTTCGAAAAAAGGAAAGGGGTTAAATTAATCACCGTTTATAAATTTCCAATTTTCGTATCCTTACTTTTAAGGATCTCCTTATACTGACATCATGAATCCTGCCCAGTTTAATTACATATACCTTACAAAGACAAAGCGTTGTGTTCTTCTATCTTCAGCTTCTCTACCTTCCGGATAAGACTACGGGAAATCCTCGGGTTCAAATACCAGCTAAGCTGCAATAATTAATTAAGTAGTTATAACAGATTAACTCATGTTATTATTTACTTACTCTTTATCAACATTAATATCTGTACGCAACCGATATGGGAAACTGGTGTCAGTCTGATAACCCATAGAATCTAAAAATTGATGCGATTAGCTAGGAGGAGAATTAGCGTTTAAGTGTAATCTAAAAATTGACAGATAAACTAAACGATAGAAAGAATAAGTTAACTAAACAAAACCATAACAAAATAAAATAGTTTGCTACCTCACACTACTTTCGAAAACCGAAGTGATTACATTAATCACTCCTAAATTCCCAATTTTCGTATCCTTACTTTTAACACCCTCATTATACTGACACCAAGAATCCTTTACAGTTTCAGTACAGATACCTTACAAAAAGAAATAATTCATGTTCATGAATCTTCATCTTCTCCACTTTCCTGCTCTGGTTCACTTTACAGGAAGTGTTCGAGTTCAAAGACCCCTTACGTTAGGCAGAGGATATAGATGACTCATCAGCATGTTACGTCGAAGGATGAGATGTGAACACACTAGAATAAGCCCTTTATTTTGATGGAAAGGGGGGGGCGCAATCTGAAAGCCTTCTTGATCCATTGAAATTTTCTGCGACGGCATAGGACGATGTGCATTTCCTCTGGTGTTGAAAGAATTTTCACTGGAGAAAATATTTATTTTAGACACGTAAAATTGTCCTATCATTAACATGATATAATATAAATTATATAAAAATGAAGTAAAACAAGTAACTGGGAATAGTAAATTCAATATTAGAATAAATGTGATGTACTGTTAACGACAGTAGTGAGTTACGTACTTTTAATTGTGTCCGAAAGAGACTAATGGGTGTTAGCTTCTTACATTTACACAATTTTGAAACATAAATATCTGGAAGTTACCGGTAAGGGAAACTGGTGTCAGTCTCGTAACTCTTACAAACTTTGAATGACGTAATTAACTAGAATACGAGGTAACGTTTAAGTGTAAAACAAAGTTCACAGGTTAACTAAACAATAGAAAGAATAATAAATGGACCGAAAACAAAATCATAATGAAAAAAAAATTGAATTTCATACCTCATATTCCTTGCAGTTTCGAAAAAAAGTGATTACATTAATCACTTCTAAATTCCCAATTTTCGTATCCTTACTTTTAATGATCTCGTTATACTGACACTATGAATCCTGACCAGTTTAAGTACATATACCTTACAAAGAAAAAGCGTAGTGTTCTTCGATCTTCAGCTTCTCTACCTTCTGCTACGATTCAGGTTACGAGAAGTTAAATCCAAAGACCGGCTGAGCTGCGATAATTAATTATATAAAGATATCTGAAATAATATGATCATTATTTATGTACTCTTTATCAACATCCAAGTCACCGCAATGAAAAAAAACTGGTGTCAGTCTCATAATTCAAATTTAAAATTGACGTGAATAATTAAAATGCAAACTAAAAATGCACAGCTTAACTAAATGATAATATAATGAATAAATAAACTATAAACAAATCCAAAATGAAATAAAAATTATTTACTACCTCGTACATCTTTCCCCTTTAGAAAAGTGATTACATTAATCAGTGTATAATGAAGTCCTTTCTTTTAACGTTATACTGACATACTTCACAGTATAAGGAGAAACCATTTTCTTATATATTAGAATTTCTTTC